GAGGCTGTTTGTTTACATAGAGTGTCTTTAATCTGCAAACAGTAGAAGGTAATACCATGGTTACTATGGCAAATGTTTTTGGATTGAGATGGATTGGATGTGAAAACGCTGTAGTTCAAGAGAAAGTGTTGTCAATGACTTTGAGTTTCTTTCAGCCCATGAAGTATTCCCAGGCTGTTGCTTGCCAAAATACAAATTTTGTAGTCTGTGAGCTTTCCATTTTTCCCTCTTTGCATTTCTGCTGTGCTTTCGCAGCCAGAAGAGTTGACCTCAGAGACCGAGGAGAGAGGAGCTTCTGGGCAAAAGGGAAGGCATGACCGGTGCTGACCCTGGATAGGGAGAACTGCTCCGGCTTCAGTAGCCCCACGTTGGAAGAAGCTTCCTCATTAACGCACCAGATGCACACAGAATAACGAACGGCTCCCTAAAATGCCACTTTTAAAGGACTCACAGGATCGTTCCGGTATTTAACCTTTTATGAGAAGGGACTCAGGGGCCAAACAGCGGTAACATCTCCCACCCCACGCCTTTACATTACCACATGCCAAGCAGCATTACAGGGATTACCATAACTTAAATACAACTATCTACTTCTCCTACCGTTTAGAGAAGAAACAGACCACGCGAGATACATACCTGCCCGAGCCCACCCAGCTCACCAGCTTGTAACAAGAGGTTAAGCTTACTGGGTTTTTTGGTTTTGCTGCTCACGTCGATTTTTCAGAGACTAAGTAAAAAAAAGTCCTAAACTCGTTCATTCCCATTACACTGCTGATACTGAACTCAACAGCTTTTTATGGTGCTTGATATATTAAAGTAGCCCCCAACGTTAACAATGCATGTTAATTATTATGTCACTATTCTCAAAACCATTCATGCAATTCACCAATAAAAACACACTATTAATCATAGAAAATTAAAGACACTCGTTCTTTACCAGCTCCGAAACAACCCAGCTCTTTTTCAGGAAAAAGTGGGTGGCTCTTAAAAGAGCCTTTGGGTTCTCCAGATGGTGCGGGAGCGCAAGGTTTTAACCGCCGCAGCCGTACAGAGTGCGTCCCTGGGG